GGGAGAGGGGGAGAGTGGGAGAGTGGGAGAGTGGGAGAGTGGGAGAGTGAGTGAGAGTGTGAGTGTGAGTGTGAGAGTGAGTGTGAGTGTGAGTGTGAGTGTGAGTGTGAGTGTGAATGTGAATGTGAGTGTGAGTGTGAGTGAGTGTGAGTGTGAATGTGAGTGTGAGTGAATCTGAAGAGTGAGTGTGAGTGAGCGTGTGTGGGTGAGTGAGAGCGCTGTACCTGCCACGAAATCTGCACTTCGAGGTTCGCCAAGCACTGCAGGTTCACCACAAGTGCTGCGCCTGCCACGAAATCTGCACTTCGAGGTTCACCAAGCGCTGTACCCGCCACGAAATCTGCACTTCGAGGTTCACACATCTGTCATGAAATCTACGCTTCGAGGGTCACAGAGTGCTGTGCCTGCCACGAAATCTGCAAACGAGCCACGTGTCCAAAAGTCACGGTTCACTGCACCTGTCAGGAAATCTGAGCTCCTCGACGATCACCGCCATGTCCAAAGTGTTGCACCTGCCACGAAAACTGCACTTCGAAGTAAAACAGCTCCGATCCCTTGCGCCTGTCACGAAAAGTCGCCAAAACACGAGGTTTCCCTTGCGCCTGCCACGAAAAAACACCACCATGTGCGAAAATGCGCGCGGCACCACAACGAGAGCGCAGTCGCTAGAAGCACCCGCCGGCCCCCCAGATTTCGCGAGCTTGCACAGTCGAAATGCACGTCGACGATTTCGACAGGCATGAATGTAGTGTAAATAGCTGCGAGTTAGCCGGTCACGGCCGCGTGCTTCAGCGATCTAAGCATCAGCTGCTTTTCACTCACCGCAAGAACCCCTAGTGTGTCCACACTGCTTGGGGAATTTTTTCTTTACACGGTTAGAAGCCGATGAGCCTTCTCATAATGAAGCCGTTGACCGGCTGCTGATGGAATCTTAGGGTGTCCAATGGCTTGAAAACTGAAACGTGCCCTCTCGAGTGGGTTTGCCACCCCAAGTCGTTTCTTGAAGGTTTCTTCTGTTCTCCTGCAGACAAAGTCAATACATCAATGCAGTAATTACAACTCATGATGGTCAACGTATCGAGATACAGCTCTTATTTGTGAACCCCAGAGGCTAACCATTGTAGCCATTGCCATTCGAAGGTAAGAAAGACCCTCACTAGTTCACTAAATATATCAAACTTATGCCCTCCAGGATTTTAACACAGTTGCGGTTGCTTTATCGAGTGGCAAAAACCATATTTTGCAGAACATGCGGATGACCCAAAGTCCCAGACTGTATGTCGCCCAATTGTTCTTCTCGTTTCAAACTCGATGAAGCTTACGTCTTACGTCATGACCGGACAAGGAATCCAGTGAATGTCACCACCCGAGGCTGGTTGACGTAAACGTCATTGCACCCTCTTTGCGTGGAAGGCATTGCGCGTTGTTTGTACCACGAGACTATAGATCGCCTTCTCACGCCAACGCAGTGCAAGCACTGGCGTCCATACTTTAGAAAACACAAAAAACATACAAAATGCACAATCTAAAATACAGAAAAAGCAAGCTCACCATGACACTTTCAGTTGCGCAAAGATCAGATGAAGGTGCAGTGCCACACCTCAATTATTGCCCTTTGGTCGGAGCTGGTTAAAACAAATTGCCGCTTCTCAGGGGGTCTCAGGTGGAAGCTGGCTGTAGACAAACATCAAGTGGAATGTCCAATCTATCAAAAGCTGTCCTCAACCTGAACAAACCCTGGCAACAAAGGCAAGGTCAAGTTGAAACTGTGCAACAGCACACCTTGCATTGCTTGCGACAAGTGGTAGCTAGCGGCTAGCAAAGTACAGCTTGCAAGGCGGATACACAAAGCCGATTTCCAACCAAGCCTCTCACATCCTCTCACAACGCTGGGTTTTCCAAGTGGGCATGAAGAGTCCATCCCTCTTGGTTCGCTGAGGAAAGGTGATCGTTCGTTTGCTGTGTTGTACATCCAATTCATGTAGCTGCTCATGTAGTGGCGTTCATGCAGCGCTATACCAAACAAATTACGTTGTTTTGGGAACATAGGGTTCAAATCGAATGGTCTTTGGCACGGACAAAACCAAAAAACTTAAGCTCTGGTGGATGTATGGAACTTGGCTATTTGCAAGAACATGCAAGTCTGTGGTAAGGCTGTAGGTCTGTTCGGCAAATATACAAAGACAGGAAGAGCAAATGCATTGTATGGTACCCACCGGTATAACAAAGCCACATATACTTGTGGATGAAAGATAAATTTCTTCTCAAATTAGGACGATAATTGGCTTGAGAGTTCTTGAAGACAGCCTTCCAACCAGCAAAACAATCATATGCATGCCTCGCTTGTCCATGCTGCTGCTTTCAATGCTTCAGAGATGGTTTAGTTAAAGTTGTAGTACCTAGACATTCTGGGCATCATGTCACACATTGTCTAGGGCAAAGCTCTTTTGCTCAAGTGATATGCTTCATTCCACGGAGTGGGCAATCCAAGGTGGTTCTGCTGCCACGAAGTGGGACAGTGCTTATGCGTGGCGAGGAGGGGTTGTGGATTGGAACTGGCTCAAATTCCAGAAAGCCATCTTCAACCACTTGACAATCGCACGATCTTCACTTTGCTTCACTCTTGGCAAAGCATTGGCAGGTTAGAGATGGACGAGGTACTTTTTCAGCAACTGCGCCGGAGCTTCTTGGCCGAACAACAGGATAAAGCAAACTGAGACCACTGTGTTTTGCTGAGTATGGTTGAGTGTGCCTCAGCCAAGGGCAGTCACGTTATCCAATACGGCTGGCGCAGCTTGGAGCAATCAGCAGCTGTGTCTTGAACATTGGTATGAACTTGTCGAAGGCTAACATGTTTGTTGCAGACCGTCGGGCAGAGCGTTCATTGGCATGTGTATCAGGAACACATGGTAT